AATACGTATCAAATCGATTTGGTTTTCACGGGAGACTCAAGCGAATCTCTTGTTTATGATGTTCTTCAACTGAATGGGTTGTGCAAAGACAGTCTGATGTTTCACTTGGTACCATTCGAGATATCGCTCAACAGTTTCATGGAGGTTCAAGTAGAATATAAGTTTGACAGAAATTCGGAGACTGCGCCTCCTCGATGAGCCCCAAGAAAGGTGAAACCGACCATGGGCTGTCAAAGGGTTTTCAGCAACCTTGTGAGTAGCGAAATACACTCATTTGCAAACAAACTCGATCATGCGAGATACTCACCAGCTGAATCTCTCGTTTGTGGTGTTTGTAGGCGACTGAATGTGCTGCACCAAGCCGCCTCATGTTTCAGTCGCTACGATATTTGAGATATCGCGATACATGTATATTTGTAAGGTTGCTGAAAATTCGTCGACAGCCCACGATCGGCTTTGCACTTCTTGGGGCTCATCAGGTAGGCGCAGTTCCCGAATTTCCGTCAACCTTATGTTCTACTTGAAGCCGAATTGCACGAAATTAGCGAAATGCACTTTTTCGCAAACTGATGATCCCTAAGAAGGGCAAAACTGGTCGTGGGCTGCCGACGCATTTTCAGCAACGTTATGAGTAGTGCATTGCACACCTCATGAGTAGTTTTCTTTGTGAAGATTATTGATTCACTTATTTGAACAGTTGTAATTACTGTATAATTATCGTGATATACGCACACTCAGAGATAGTGAAAATTAAAAGCAGTCAATTGACAGTGTGAGTGGCTGCTCGCTAAGCAAAAGGGATTCAACAGGCACTTATTCCAGTGGACATTCCTTGCACCTGATGAAGTTGAAAAGCCGAAAAAATCTCTACATCTGTTGGGATTCTATGTTTGGAACCATTAGTATTACACATCTCACGAACTTCGCGTTCTTCCGGACAGTAGTTAAAATTCAACGGTTTGGTCACGAGTGACTGATCGGCAGCGTGATTACGTTTCACTTAGTACATTGCGCCGCTTGTCCACAACAAATGTTCACGTATTGATTGGCTCCTCAAGTGATGACTTCTCAGAAGGGAGTTTCACACATCGAGTGCAATTATCTCACCTCTGAGTTGTCACAAGCCGGGTGAAGCTAATCGATCCACAACTGTTCGTAAACCGTCAAGGGATAGCCGCTATGTCATCGTAGCATTTACACCTTCCTGTAGAGTGTTAATCGTAAGAGTAAGCCAACATTCTGGTTGTGGTTAATTAACGGGTTTCAAAATGCTGACCTCAACTGACCTCGAAGGCTTTCCAGCAACCTTATCAGTATTGCATTACAAATACATACATGTATCACGATATCTCGAATACCGTAGCGACTGAAGCATGAGGTGACCTGGCGCAGCACCTCCAGTTGTCCGGAAAAATCAAAACCGAGAGATTCAACTGCGTTCCAGGTGAGTCTCTCGAGAAACCAAATTAGTTTGCAAATGAGTGTATTCCACTGATTTCGTGCAATTTGGTTTCAAGTAAAACACAAGATTGACGGGAACTCGAGGACTGCGCCTACCCTGATGTCCCCAAGAAGGGCAAAACCGGTCGTGCGCTGTTGAAGTTTCAGCAACCTTACGAGAAGTGCGTTACAAAAAACCTATCTGACCTTCTTAATTTCAATAGTGTTGTAGCTGTTCACGCCTGAGTCCCAGAGAGCCTGTTCTCACTGTGTGTTTGGCTACATTTATCAAAGTCTCAGTATTAGCTTTTTAGCCCGAACAATCCACTCAGAATCTGGTTAAAATTGACCCAAAATAGACTATATGCCAGGGGTGACAAAAATCCTTAGCGGAACTGAACAATACTTTGCGTACGTGTGTGTGGAAGAACGCATTAAGCGCAGAATAATCTTACGCACTACCGACTAAGTCGTCAGCTCAACCCCGGTTCTGAGTGATGGCGCATGGGAATCACTAGCGCCACTTAACGGAACACATGCGAGGAAGCAGTTTAATAACAAAACCGCGGTGACAGCTATTGAATCGTCAACACATATCCAGTAATAGTACAGCTGTCTCTGCGTTTTACTGGCTTTTGTGTAATCTGTGTTGATTTTATCGATGTTGCAGTATTGGGGAAGGCTGTACGAATCGTATGCACTTTAGCTTCGTTGTAATAGCTCTGGAGTAAGCTATGGCCTATCACAGAGTCTTTGTTTTCCCAGGTACATATTCAGCTGCCCAAAACTTTTGTTTTGCGATTTTTCCATGCATTTGATTGTTCACTCTATTTGTCATTCCAAGTTCCTGCGTTTATTATTTATTGCAGTTTCCACCTGAATAGCAGGAAACCAATCAAAATCCTAAGAGCTACCATTTTCCTATCAAGAGAATTGGCGCCTAGCATCGTTGATTGACTGTCCTTAAGAGCTAACCCATTTAGTTCTGATCGAATCAATCATACTATTGTCAGTTCATTGTACTAATCAATACCTAGCCTACTCGTGGAGCGAAGAATTACAGGTCGCAAACATTTTGAGTGGCAGTGCAGTGTAGAATCAATAGTGTAGCCCTATTTGAACGCTAGTGAAACGGTCAGACGAGTGAAACCATATATGATCTGTCGGTATATGCAACGACAAGTTCTCTGCTAAGCAAATTTGGCTAGATTTGAAAAAGACCGATCGGGGTAAAATTCCGACAGTGCGGTAAAACAAGAGTAAACAAACCCAAAGTGATGGAGTTCGTATAATAAAAATCAAGGGGGCTTAGTAGACCTGTCGAAACCCAATGCTATTAAATCCTCTGTTTTTAAGAGAAATTCACGTGAGATGAAATCCCTAGAATAGGTCACTGAACGTTCATAATGCACTACTCACAAGGTTGCTGAAAACTCCTCGACAGCTCACGACCGGTTTTGCACTTCTTTGGGCTCATCAGGTAGGCAAAGTCCCCGAGTTTCCGTCTGCCTTATGCTCTAATTGAGAACAAATTGCACGAAATTAGCGAAATACACTCATGTTCACACTAATTTGGCTTTGGCAGAACCCAACTAAATCTCTCGGTTGGGTTCCAAGTGAGTCTCTCGCAGAACCAAATTTGTTTGCAAATGAGTGTATTTCGCTAAGGACATTGAAGAGTTCTTTGGTCTCATAAGTTCATGAGTGGCATACTGCCAAGTCATCGTTGGCTATGAAGAACTCACGGGGTCTACTTCGAAGATGTTTGAGTAAACGTCCACAGCTCGTTTCAATGACCAAAGGAGGTTTTGTGTTACTCTTATCACCAATCGGAATCACCACGCACCTTCATCCAACAGTCTTGAATTCGTAAACTTTAGGGCAACACACTATCTAGTACTCAAGTATGTGATCTGCGCGATGCAGTCCTCTACGTACGGTTTGAACATTTAACCCGAAATCCTTCTGGCGTAGTTCGAACCACTTTTATTTGACGTAACTTTACACACATTTGAGATCGGGATCCTTCACAGAGGTCTCAGCATCTATGAACTATGGACCGCTTTTAACTTTTGGGGTATCAAAACAAGGGGTTCATCTCTCGTCCTTCTATGGGAACTCTATTGGTTAAATTCATTCCACACGGCGATACATGTGGCAATCACTTTAACGGTTTTCCTATGGACGTGAACAAATTTGCGTCACACCGAACTTGATTGGGAAGCATACTTAAACTTTAGAAACACTTCCTCACATCAAGGGAATAGAGTTGAACTTTGCGAAGGACTGCTAGGCAACTGCTAGGCAACACTGGTCAGGAGCACACGGGTTGATCTACACTTCAGGACGGTGGATAAGCTTCAGCAAGCTAAACTGCATTAGACCTAACACACAATACTACTCATGGGCTTGCTAAAGACAAACCACGCCCGTTTTCATCCTCATCAAATAGGTGCAGTTCCCGAGTTTCTGTCAACCAAGGGTTCCAGTTACAGATCCAATTGGACGCCAAATTGCCTAATTAATTTGATTTCAAACTGGAAGTTGGCGCAATCAAACTGAGATTCCCGTTTATATTTTTCTCCTCTTAAAACCAAACTTGTGTGCAAGTGGAAGAAGTATTTGATACATGCTATTTTATTTGCAATTTTCGAATAAATGTAGTTAATGAATCACAGTAAGCTGAAAGAAATCCGGGAAAAACGTTGCACTTCTATGACCAATGGCCAATGCTGTATTTAGGGTAAGAGAGTATCTGGTTTCAGATTTGGTGACCCTGTTTCAAACGGTTCGATATTCCATATGAAAGAAAAGAGAGTCCCGCCTTCTACCTAAGAACGTTTTCCAAAAAAAAGTTAGTGAAATTCACTGAATTCAAGTTCCTGTAAAGCATACTTGTTGTATATCTTACGGAGCAACTTTTGTTTACGTTCATAGACGCGCCTGCATTTTTATAGGTTGCCATACATCATCTGAATTCCAACGCAGGTTTTATTACTTACAATTCTGGAATGTGTTTTGAAGTTTTTTGGAACATTCGCGACCTGCATTGTTTATTTTGGCAAACGCTCAACACCGCCAAAGATTTTCAGGAACTAAACGCCCGTATTGTTCTGTTGTAGAGGGACTTGTTTTAAGCAACACTGTTCAGTTGATGATTGGTGAATATGTGATGTTTTAGACCGATTTCCGACATCTTGAAAACTAATCGGCTTGAACAGAACGCATCTCTGAAGTTTGCTAATATCTTCACCAAAACTAACAATATTTTGGAGATGTCTCACGACATGAATAATCAATACTAATGCTTTTAAAAGATAGGTGACAAAAACATTTTGAATATGCCCTAACGAAAACCGAAAAGGTACATTAAGCTCGTGGAATTTTGAAGCTTTCGATATTTTTGCCAGATACAAAACATGTAGTTC